CTTGCTCTTTTAAAAAAATAGCTAAGTGCTTATTCTTTTAGATCGGGGACATGATAGATCTGAAGACTATCTTAGTTCTTCAGATTTGAAAGAGAATTTTCTTCTCTCCTCTCTTGCAGTTTAGCAAATCTGTCACCAGTCAGATTGTTTAGGATCACATGTCTTACATTCTTAACTTCTGCAACATATTTGTAATTATTTGTTTTGAGTGGCCTTTATTGAGCTTTAATGAGTTTTATTGAGTTTAAATCGGTTTTAGTGGACTTTAATGAGTTTTATTGGGTGTTCATAGGTTTTATTGGGCTTTAAAGGGTTATATTAGACTTTAATGAATCTTTTGGATTTTATTCGATTTTAATGGGCTTTAATGAGTTCTATTAGGCTTTAATTGGTTTTATTGGGCTTTAAAGGGTTTTATTATGCTTTAATGAGTTTAATGGGCTTTAATAGGTTCTATTGAGTTTTATTCAGTTTTGTTGTGTTTTAATGGTATGTATTGGGTTTTAATCGGTTTTATTGAGTTTTAATGGGTAGTATTAGGTTCTATTGGGTTTTATTCAACTTTATTTGGCTTTAATAGGTAATATTGGACTTTAATCAGTTTTATTTAGTTTNTTTGGCTTTAATAGGTAATATTGGACTTTAATCAGTTTTATTTAGTTTTAATGGGTAGTATTAGGTTCTATTGGGTTTTATTCAACTTTATTTGGTTTTAATAGGTTATATTGAACTTTAATCGGTTTTATTGAGTTTTAATGGGTAGTATTAGATTCTATTGGGTTTTATTCAACTTTATTTGGCTTTAATAGGTTATATTGAACTTTAATCGGTTTTATTGAGATTTGATCAGTTTTATTGAGTTTTAATTGGTTCATTGGGCTTTGATGAGTTTTATTGGACTTTAATGGGTTTATTGGGTTCTAATGAGTTTTGTGGTACGTATGTACGTATGTGTGTATGTATGTACGTACGTATGTTATAATTGTATGTACATATAAATATATTTATGCAAATATGTGTATAAATGTGTATGTAAATATGTATATATAGGTTAAATGAAATGAGAACCACAAATCTATTACAAACCCGTAACAACCATACAAAAATATTTTTTTTTGATTTATTATAACTTATTAAAACTCTATGGACCCTTTAGATTCAAAACATGTTTATGCCTTTAAATTCATTACATCTTTGGTTTCAAAACAAGTTTATGTCCTTGAAACTCGTTACATGACTGCTTTGACTTTTCAATAGCATTACACCTTTGGCTTCAAGCTTACCTAAAACAAGTTTATATCCTTCAAAGAACCTAACTCTCTAATCACCTTTCATATGATTAAATACTAGGTTGATTTTAGTCTTAATAAACTTTATCGAGGTGTTTTAAATCTTTATTTTTTGTATGTTTACTTGTTTATGTGTTACCTTTATAAAATTGTTTACAAAATGTTCGTGTTTGACTTCTTGGTATTGGGTGGAATCTAACATTGTGTTGTATATTTGGATTATTGTTGTATGTTTTCTAATGTTGTTTTCTTAACTTATTATAATGCCGCCGACTGGTGCGAACGGACGAGGTAGGGGAACTCCTAGCTGAGTTACTGGAGCCTCTAGTAGTGCTTCGGCACAATCAGGAGAGATGAAGTTTGGAAATGTTTGTGACATCTCTGGAACAACTAATTGATCAAATCAAATGTTATTTGTATTGATACTAATTCAATTCACTCGCCAGATGAGCTAGATAAATCAGTCCATGATTAATGGGTTATGGTGCACTTGGTTAGAAATCCCTAGGGATGTTAGAGCCCAAATGTGGGAGTGTTTTCAGGTTCGTGGTATATATTTAACTTGTTATATTTTTGGTAGTTTCGTTTTGAACTTAAAAATCAACTAACATTTTATGCACAGGGCTACTATTGGGATGAGACTCTGGATGCTACAACTATGGGAGGCCCGGCCTGCAATGACGATTTGAGTGCCGCTAAGAAAAGGGTCGTCAATGAAGCCAGAAGGTATTCAATTCCCTATTACCATAACAGTCCTAACAGGGATATTATTTGGTTGAAGAACCCCTCGCCCCCCAAAAAAATTTGGATCTCTCCCCTCTCTATATTTAGATGATCGATCGCTCGAACACGCCCCATTGGAAGGGTATTTCCGTGGGGGGCGCTTCAAACAGGTACACCGAAGTGGATGGCGATGTAGCCAAACACACCGGCGGATCGATCTCATTCGTAAAGCATGGTCATCGTCGGGTAGGACCTTAAAACCGATTATTTAGTAACTTGATTTTTGATATGTTATAATTAACTAAATATCGTATTGTTTAACCTTTGTAGACGAAATCAAGATAAGGCATGCCACTGACCATTGTGGATCTGTTCAATCATACCCACAGGAAGAGGTCGAATTCAGAGTCATCCTCTTTGGATAGTGGGTCACTAAGGGATTACGTGACTTCGAGGTGTAGTCGGGGTTATGGTAAGTATTTTGCATTATTGTTATAATGATTAAGTTTAGGATATCTATATAGTTTGGATTTAACTTTAAACTTTATAATTGTTTAACTTTAACTCAAAATCTCTATCTAGTTTCGGTTGCCAAACATTATGACTGTTTAAGTTAAGATCTTAGTATATATCTCTATCTAGTTTGTATTACCATTTGTTGGGCAAATATTAGGATAGTTCAACTTCGTATATATCTCTATTGAGTTTAGGTTTCATTTGTTGGGCAAACATTAGAATTGTTTTAGTTGGAAACATCTCATTTACAGTCGTTGTGTTATTTAAATTGACTTGTAGTATTTTTTAAACCACATGGTAACTATCAAACGAATCTTACCCCTAGTTGATACAAATCTATGGCAACAGACGGTTCGGGGAGCAAGAAAAGTCGGCTATTCGACTTTGGATACAACCAAGATCCTAATTGGGTCTTGACTGGGTCGTCCGCACATGGAAACCCAAGTGCTGGATCGTCTTCTGATGGTCGGGTGTGTACCTCTTTTTCTTTTGATGTTTATCTGTTTCATTTATAATTATTATTATTATTAAGATCTTAATGTTTCTTGTATTTGTAGATTAACGAATTACAAACCCAAGTTCAAGATTTGCACTTTCGAGACGAGATCCGGAAGAAGGATCATGAGGAGATAATGAAGATGTTGAGGAAATTTACTCAATCTCAAACGTCGTTACTGCCGCTAGAGTTTTGATTTTTTGGTTGTCTATATATGAATTCTTGTCAATGAACCGAATAATTGTATTTTTCATTGGAACAATTTGTATTTATTTTACCCGAACAATGTATTGGACTTTAATTTACGATATTCGTTTTACAATTTTAGCAGTGTTTTTATTTACATGATTTAAAAAATTTAAATAATAAAAAACATAAAAGAAAATCTGAAACTGTGCAATTACTAATCGTATTCTATTTAAAAAGTAATTCACTAGAAAATAATTATTGAAATAATAATAACGGGGTTAGCCGTGGATTATCCACCGATAATTTAATTATTTTTAAAAAAATTGTACTTTATTTATTAAAAAATTAATTAAATTATCAACGGATAAGCTAATCCACTGATAATTTAGGGGCTGTTTGTTTCCCTCTTAATGGTGACATTAAGAGGGAGACTCTTAATCGTTCAGAGGTTTAGAATGTTTGGCAAAAAAAAGAAACCTCATAATGGTTACTAAAAGGCTCTTAACCATTTTGCATATGGGAAGTCTCTAAACCATTCAG